TCATCATTAATTACAGTTACATCGCATTGCCTTAGACGACGATTAGGAATAGAACTGCAAAAGCGAACGCCCCACACTCAAAGAAATACATTAGGCATATACAATTAAAAGTTATCAGAATTATTACTTCCATCATTATTTTTATTCAGTAAATTTATGAGTTGTATCTAGAATTAATCACATCATATCAGTATTAATATTCTACAATTAAACTTGTACTTTGTTTCTGTTAAACGTGATATGACACTACAGGATTGATCTGTAACGATTTCCAACTTTGGTATTGAGTACTGAGGACGAGATTGTTCTTTCCTAATTTATGGACATGACATTACAGCTAAGAGTAGAAAATATAAGCACTGCAGACTTTTGACGATAGATTTCATCGATTCATTGCGCGTGTGGGGTGGAGACAAGGCGTAAGTAGTGTTAAGATTAAAGGTCGTAGTAGTAGTAGTAGTAGTGGGTAAAAAAGTTAATAGATAAGCGGTAATAAATTTTAATCGACTAAGGCAACTGAGATACGTCGTCTCAAGGAAGTTTGGTTTCGGACTGAATGAGATTTAACATACAACTTTACACAGAAGTGCACTAAATTAAGTTGCTCCACTCTATGTACCACACTAAGTTACACAAAAGAGAAAAGAGACCTATGAGAACTATAATAAACAGAAATTGGAGGGAGAAAGAATAGTAACCTGGAACGGTTTAGCGCATGTGGGAGATTACAAAGAGTGAATGCATCTGCACCAGTCATTGAGAACGATTTTTAGCCATATCACCAACAGCCTCTAGCCATTGGTTCTTAGCATGACGAGGATCCTGCCCTAACCATGCAAATTTAGTGTGCTGAAGTAGATCTAAAAACAGCTCTATAACTAGCTCCTACATATCATGATGAACAAAAAATTATAGCTCAATGCGTATCCTATAGTTGTTCTTCTCACAGCAACTGAGTATCTCATACATACTTCCCAATAATTATCTGGTATGACGGGTAGTGGATAGACCTCGGTCTTACTGTCGAAATACTCTCATGTGAAGAAGAACTCACAGCCTCAGGAAGGTAGTTTCTATTCACTTCTTTCACAAAGCAGTGTTCTTACAAAAGTGACAGAGAGAATGTGAATATCTGGCGCTCTTCACCTGACCGATGAACATGGAGAGTTCACACCTAGAGGAGCTGGAAAATCCTGATTCCAAATCAAAGGAATAAATGACTTATGAACCTGCTTTGGGTACCACCACAACCATAGAAATACAGCCCATGGCGATTCTCCAGTGTTTTATGAATCAGGATGGTTCTTCTACCTCAGGTATCATGGCAGTAACTCTGCCTTCATACAAAATATGGAACTACAGTTCAACAAAAAGTCAAAATAAACTCTATGCTTTTACAACCTGTTGCAGCTAATATTTCATCAATCCTATGCTAAGTCATTTAGTTTATTGACCCACTTCACCTACTTCTACCAAGGCAAATCGCGTAGTATCATCATTTCATACAAGATAAATGTGGCTTATACAGCCTGATACATGGAAAATCTGCTCCGGATTAGTAAGATAATCAAACCAATTCAATATCACTGCAATATTAAGGTGAATCACATGTATAAACTACTTTATTATATTTCTGTCAACTTTACATCTCTTATCTTTGTTTTCATCAGGTATTCCGTATTACTGGGAATCTAAACTGTGTTTGCAGTTTCTAGAAAATTATCTCCAGAAAACTGGTCATCAGTTAGATACCTATTACGCCTCTTCTAACATCGCATATCGCATTTAGTCATGCCACGTCCGTACGGTGATGCCCATGAAGAGTCTCTCCCTCTCTGTATACATTATGTTGCTGACAATATTTCAAAGAAGTGATTCGAGTGGCTTCTCCATCTGTTAGCTCAAAGTACTTTTCATGTAGGACTATCCAGAAGCACCGTGATATCCACGTCCAGTTTACTTGGTGATAGAGATGAAGTTGCACTACTCGAATGAATCTCCACTAGCAGTCGTTTAAATGTTGTTACGATAGGTCATATAAGAGTGATAAGCAACAGGCCAGAGAGGTACTGCCTCTCTGTCATCTCTACTGTGCGCCGATGAATTGTAACCTGTATGAAACTAAGGATGAGTTCTACCATCAACCGAGTAAACTCAAGAAAGGGTGTTCAATAAATACCATAGAGCTAGCTGGAAATTTGAATGCAGATGCGATGAGTTTAGGCTCAGGCTGGAGCCGTTTAAGTAAATGGTCACGAGTCAGATGGTGGAGACCATCTTCTACAGCTTTGCACAGGTTATAGTATATTTCTAACCACCACCAGCTTCAAGTATAGCCGTCACCATAGTGCTATCTGGAGTCCTCTCTCTGCCTCCTCTGCCACTCAACCCTATACTCGGCCAGGTCTCACACTACTATCAGTTTTCGATAGTGTGAATGCACAAGAGACTGCTCCTCCTCATCCTAGAGCGCTCATCTGGGTTCCACAATGCTTCAATGTGTGTCAGGTCTACCTTGGAAACTAGTGATGTTCATAAATGTTGTCCTAACATATTTGACGTAAGTAAATTGGTTGCAACCAAATATCAAACAGAGATCCAAGGCTATCTATTGGTCAAGTGTAGACAAACGCTAAGCTAGTGTTCTTATCAAAAAGAACCGTGCAATATATTGTTATAGTCCTCTTAGGTTCCCAGTGGAACATAGGGCTTCAACACCACACCTACATTCTGTCCTATTTTCTGCTGCCTTCTTTAACTGGCCACACGATTGCCCAGAGTTCCTCATCTCCTCTCATGATCTCCTCCATGTCTCCTTGATAGCGACTGGTGCTGGTTGTTTGTTGGTCGGTTGGCTATCTTTATCACCTCCATCTCGGAAAGAATATAAGTAATGCATACGACAATAATCGAGATATCAGTTTGTCGCCATTTGTCTCAAAAATGCCAGTTGCCGCTGTGCTTCGCAGACCAATAAAAACGCAGGAAAAATTCGTTCGCAAAGAATAGGCTGGGATTTACCGACCACACTTTTTCTCTCTTGGTCAACTGTACCACTGTTCGGCAGTCACATTTCTTAAGATCACAGCTGCCATCAGTTTGCTGAACGATACTTTTTATTATGAAGTGTACTTAAGAAATTTATTCACATTCTGAAACCCTATTAAAATAATATCTAAGGTACAGTGGAGTCATACAACGACGGAACATCACTGTTGTGAACCAGCAGTGACATTAAATAAAACTGAGCAATTTGATTAGCGCCTATTAACTTTGACAACGGTGACAATCTGAGAATAGATCTGAAGGAGATGTGGGCGGTGACGCCGTAGATATTCTACTTTTAGAAAGACTATTTGATCATGAATATCCAAAAGATATCGTCTCATTACGTGACGACATGCAAACTATCCAAATAGTACTGTCCCAGTGCAAAGTGTTGCTGGGTTGTCAAGAGCCTGCGCCCACTCCCTCTTGCAGGTAAACCATTGGAAGTAATCGAAAAGTTGGTGCATCTTTTAGTTGTGTCAGAGCAAGTGAAGACTTGACGGATGGAGTTTCTAGTCTTATACCGTAAGCCAAAGCAGTATATACCAACCTGAGTTACCTCTGGTGTTGTTATCTGGCCGTTAAAGATCAAATCTGCAACGCCTTGGTGCGTACAGTCATTCTCTAGGCCTATGAAAAATGGACTCTTCAAGTTGAGGATGTAATTTGTCAATAATAAACGCATACCACGGTTATACTATAAATTCTTAAAGATATCGAACATCACTATTTATACGTATTGGTTATTCAAGTCAAAATCTAATATGTTTGGCGGTAATTTTCCCTCAAGCAGCTGACAGTCTCTTTCTATGAGATAATTCATATGTATGCACTGATGTCAATTATTACCATGAAACAAGATGACTGAGTGAGCAAAGAACTTTGCACAGATGTGCAGTAGTTCGAGTCGCCACTCTCCCTCCATGTTGCACACAAAGTAAGAGAAGAAATTAAAAAGAAATGCAAAGTAGAGACAGTAAACAGAGATATAAGGCAAGACGAATAGTAATATGGAAGAACAATAGAGTTTTTTGGATATAAGAAATCACAAAGAGTGAATGCATATGCGCCAGTAACAACGATTTCCAGCCATATCATCGATTGTCTCCAGCCATTGTTTCTTACCATCTCGGGGATCCCCACCCAGGAAGTCTACACCTCCCTACATGGGTTAAACTAACTGTTATGGATTTAATTACCTGATTTGGTTTGACCACCACTAGATCTTTTCCAACCTGATCCATCCTATGTCAACTAACATTACCCGTATAGAAAGGTGATGGTTAGGCATGCGTAACACATATCCTAACCATCTCAATCGATGCCGCTTCACAACCTCGTCAATAGGTTTTCCCTCCTGACCTAATACTCCCCGGCTAACCACAATATTACTCACCATATCATACCATCTAACACGGGAGATAAAACGCGGACAGCTAGCCTTTTCCTGTCTTCCACATGAGACAAGATAGGCGTTCAGCACTAAACTTCTTAAGAAAACTAAGTTGTAGTGAAAACATACTGAATATCAGACAAACGAATGCGAATTACTGGTTGAGTTATGACACTGCTCACTCGCCAAGATAAACTGAGTTTTTAAAGCTATATAAGTAAACCATTAGAAGTAAGCGATAGCTAGTCTCCGATGAAACCAAAGAAATGGATTTCGTCTGGGTCGTCAAATACTCATACATCCACGCGAGTACTTCGTTCACTGAAAATGGAACTGTGTGGTTTTTTATTCAGTAGGTTAGTGAATCAGAATAATTACAATTCTGTACTGTCATTTTCAACTAATCCCGACTGATCCCCTTTCAGTGAAATGTGTGGCAGTACTCAAAACCTATTCATTACATTCACCTGTATTGACGAATTCATGAAAAATTAATAAAAAAAGACTAGCATTTCTACATTATAACCTAATAGCATGCATAATCAATTTTGAAGCTTACCCAGATGTTTGCCAGTTATTATGCAATGAAGATAAATCCAATCCAGGAGCTAGCATGTTTAATGTTGCATCATAATCACCCACCCGAATGAGTTTTAATAAACCCAACATTCCAAATTGATCACAAATCATATTTTTAGGAATATTTGTAACTAAATGGTTAGGCAGTAGCTGTATGCCATTTGAAGCACCGACAGATTTAGAAGGAACATTTGAATAGCTTGGCTGGTTCGCGCCTGATGATTGTGCCATAACCTGATTGGGTGTGTGGCTAAATAGCCGTCGAGAATTTGTAGAAGCAGGAGTTTGTGTCACAGAACTGGCTGACAAAGAACGATGAGTAGCAGATGTTGAATTAACAGTTAAGGCACTCGTCGTTGATACTGTTGTTGTTGTACTAGTCGTAGGCTGGTGTGAACCAGGCAAAGCGGGGAAATCTTGTTTAGAAAATTCTAAAGGAGCTGCCTGACTATTTGAGGAATGATTAAATTGTTGATTCATTTGACTTAAGCTTTGATCAATGGTTGACGACCCCTTGGACATGATGGAAACATAGTTTCGTAACGGAGGCTGACTTGCCGAGGAGTGGAAGGTTGTTGAGGCATTCCCACTCCGCCCAGTCGAAGTTAAAATTGGAGGAAATTCCGAAGGATCCAAGGTAACACCACGAGAAGATGAGGACAAAGAAAGATTTGTGGGATTCGAAGGACTATTATCATTTCCAACTGAGTTCGAATACAGACTTCCAGGATTACGGTTAGAAGCCATTGCCATAGCGGTGTTCATGGGGATTGATGGGGCAATATTTCCAACTCGATTGTTTGTCAACTCATTTCCAGCTGTTCGACTTACAGTGGACATGGAGGAGAAAAGGGCAGGTTCAGAAAAATTTCTTGGAGGACCTGTTTGATTACCATTATAATTTAATGCAAAGAAGTATGGTGGTCCATTTTCTAGACTAGAATCCAGTGCAGTTGGATATGTTGTCCGACCAGGAAACGCATTGGGTACCGGATTGATAATTTCACCATTTCGTTGAGAAGAACCAGGTCTAGAGTTATAACCAGTTGTTGAAAGAGTTGCAATATCACTGAAACTAGGTGGTGTTCCAGCATTCACTGAATTACCAGTACCGAACAAGGGCTGAATCGTAAATAAAATAAGAAAATGAAGAACTTATTCACGACTACAATCAGAAAATAATTTGTCACTAAAGTACAATCTGCATATTACCACAAAATTTGTTTATTCGCTAGGAACAGGGTTAATGCAATATACATTTCAGTTTAATGATATGGCTACAAGACTCAATTTTGCAAAATTAATGCAAATAGCAACAATTTATTGATTAAGAGACATGAGAAGGCAGTAGTTATTATTATTATTGTGAATCGATATTTACTAGTACGACAACTTGAATTAAAAACACGACAAAATAATAAACTTATCAATACAGACATGCAATTTGAAAATATAGGCCGGCAATAATTCAATGACAGGCTAATTATTGAAAATAAGAGTATCAAACAGATTTGAATTCCTCATTGAAATTCATGAAACGACAGAGTGTATAATTATTTATAGATATATGAAACTGCCTGAGAACAATATTACTTATTCGTAGAAATCCACTCGTTCAGTCATTGGGACACTCTAATTGGGGTTAGCCATCACACCTACAATTATACTGCCTGACTGTCCAGAACTTACCACGGTAAGACGATGGAAATGTGACCAATCGGCTTAAGCTCTTGACTTTCAAGCAGTAGGTCCGGGATTCGAATCCCCTTCCAGGTATTTCAGCCTGTGTAACTAGGTTGTAGTACCACCAGCCCTCACACTACAAGTGTGGCCCGCAGTTTGGTACTGTGGCGTATGGAATCCCGACACTTCATTACACGTCGATCTTCAGCCAATTCTTTTATTATCCACCATCATACAAGAAAATGATCAATAATTAATGTGGAGTTGGAGCTCATAGGTCTTGATAGTCAATTTTTAATCGCTTAGTCATACATTCGAATCCCGTTGTATTCAGAGAGCTTTGGCGGGGGCAATAATTGTTATCCTTCGGAAATTAGGTGTGGCTCAATACATAATACATTGAATTATCCTAGGTTATTGAGTTGTCTACTATCTGTCATCATAAATCAATTGTCTTGAACTTAAGCTTCTTTGTTTTGACGCAAATAACACAACCTAGTTACTTTGGTCAAAACATGTTCACAAACTTATTTAAAACACTGCACTTAATTCGAAAGCAGTCATACTGGTGTAGGAACGGGGGTATCTTACACTGAATTTCAAACGCCCTATTATATATCCTTTACTTGTTCGCTTGTTACTTTTGTCTTGTTTTTCTTTACCTATAAAGGATAGTAAATATTTATATCAGTCCTCCTGATGGATTACGTTTGATGTAAATTGTGAATACTGATACTTATAAAAGACAGTATGGTGTTCCAAGTTTAACTTTTGTTACTTTAATGGTGAACAGTGAAGCATATACAAGAAGTGTCCCTAACAAAGTGAATGATAAAGCGTCATCGGTGTCATTGCCTGGTCAAAATACTACGAGTGAATTTTAACTATGGACTACTAACCCGATTCTTTCCCACTAACGAAACAACTGAGTACTATGGTGTCTAAGCGCTTATTATTCGACAACACAAAAATGCAAGGTTACCAAAGTTAAGTTGTACTTCTGGTCTGTATAAATCATATAAATATATTCAGTCGATGCTAAGATATGGAGAATTTAGATTGGCATGTTCGCGACAAGTATGCATATTCCCATTAGTCGCACACCAGAATTACACCTCCAGTCTTGGTGATAATTTAAAGGCTGAAAATGCTGAAACCTAGGGGGAGTAAAAATAAACTGGAAAATATGATAAGGAACTGGTGCTGTAAGAACTATGGTGGCTGAGAAGTATTTGTTACAAAGCTCATGAGACATTAACAAAGTTTACTATGCTTGTGTTACAAATATACTAGGCTGAAACACCTATAAGTGTCTGGTTACACTATGGTTCCACGTTCAAAACCAAAAGAATACACCCACCATAAAAAAGCTGGATCTATGAGTTAGTCTTAGGGATTTAACTTGTTTTGCTACATAAAGCGTATATTAGAGAATACGTATTACACGAATCAACACAACAATCCACCACTAGATTAGAAAAATAAAGGACGCATTAAAAGGCAGAACACCAGTGAACAATTAGTAAGTAAATCCAGTTATATCTTATAGAAGTGTAAGTGATTAACTTATTTTGGTGCGAGTAAGTTACCAAGGTTTCCCAACCACCTTAGACGTGAAGTTTACAACTTTGGCTACGTATTGGCATTATATGAGACTGTGCATATTCAAACGCTAAATTGTTTATAGTGTTGTGATGTCAGATGATATGCACAGCTTTCATACACATGGCACTAAAAATAGCTGTGTAGAATCCGAATACCGCTTGACCAGATATATGACAGCTGCTAAACCATGCCATACTGGAATGAGCAGTTTGTAGTGACAAGATTATTTCTATGGTAGACGCTCTAAGTCCTGAATAACTTACACCATAAGGCCGTAAAATTTATTTCTCTACAAATTTAACTGATACTGACTTCAAACAGTAACAATGACGATGTAAACATACTGTTTGAGTAGTTAGGTACGGTAAAGTGGATGTTTTCAATTCATAAAATGTTTTGTTATACTACAATAACATCCGAGACAAGATGTTAAACTCACAGCAGTCAATCTAAGACCAAACAGTGAGTATGTCCTATTTCAAAGGTTCATTAAATTAAAGTGAAGCTACTGTAAGACGGGAAAGAGCCTAGGAAAATAAGGAATGATGAGTTAAACTTATTGAATGTTACTCATGTACCTATTTCGGCCGAATAAAAATCTCGAAAGTAACCAGATACGATCGAAATCCACCGAAATACCAAGCAAATTCGTCCAGGGGATTAACAGTATCACACTCCGGAAGAGCATCTGCCCCGATGAGATGTGTATTCGAAACGAAGCGTATCAAATGACTGACTAAAAGATGCGAAAGTAACACAAACCCATGCCAGTTCATGCAGTAAACTATAAACTGAAAAGAAACAGTCAATACTTTGATCAACAGGACATTTGCTTCGTAAAGAAAGGTACTTCCATCACTACAAATAGATAACATACACCGAAATTCGGGATATAAAGGGAAAAGATGATTCCTATATCATCCTGAGCACGTTTATTCCAGGTAAACACGTGAAAAAGCTTACCCTTTTCGTAAAATTACTTCCGTACGTAGTGACAGGTTTATTATAATCATGCACCATAGCCCTCCCCATAGTATATCTATAGAATTAATGAGCAAGGAAATATCCAACATACTGTGTTTGAGTGTTCCAGGGAACAGAGTGGTCAGCAGAAGTAAAACGCCTAAAATTGGTTAAAATGGACATCAGTTATATAGGTTGTTCCTTACTGTCCTATTCCTGCCATAAGCTGTATACATTTGGTAGATTTAACACTAAACGTTGATATAAAGTAGTTAATTGACAACATACATGATAATTTATACACAGTAAGATCAGAAGATTTATTTTACTGCTGTCCCCAGATAAAGAAATAGTACAACAAACGGAAGTGCGAATATACAGTCGCCCTTATTATGCAAACTGAACTGGGGAGCTGCCGCCATTCATAATGAGTCACTTAGAAGCAATAGCCTTTATGGTGTAATTTTAGTCTCAGATTAGCCAGAAAAGGAAGCTGAGTGAAAGAAACTTAAAAATTTGATGGAAGAAATCTCAAAAAGACACTTTTCCTACTAAATTTAAGGCCTTATGGTCTGTGTTTGAGGCGCTAAATTTGAAGTTGACATACACCCTTATCTGACGTTCTGTTGAGCTTCTCGAAATATGATATTATAACAAGATTCTAATTCACACTCATTTGTTGCAGAGATATTTGAAATGTTTGATAACATGCAAGATAATGCAAATTAAACGTGGTGATTTCAGAAGACAGCGTGAGCGAACGAAAGAGATATCACTGCTTTTCTGCTGAAAAATACACATGATCTAACACAGAGCATGTATTTTTCACTTTCAGTCTCCAGGACTAGGATATATAAGCCATTTGAGTTAACAAGACTAGAATATAACAGTATGGTACGCAGCCATCACAGTCGAAATTTTGGAGACGTCTAAGAAATAAGTGTACTTCCGCCTTGAAATTTCCCTTCACAGTCGTCATAATGCGCCAACACCATTTCCTATTTAATGTAATGCGCCAAGCACGAGAATCAACCTGATTTGTTGATCACACTTATACTAAGTTATCCTGTAGAGAGGTTTGCTTTGTCATCGGTTCCTTTCACCGAGTTCACTGTGAATGCCCTTATTCACAGGACCGCACATTCCATCCCCAGTCTTTAGATTGCTGCTTATAAATAAGGTTCAGGAATTAAGCAAATTGGTCTTTGGAACAAAGTTGATTTGGTGGGAATGCATATCTTAGGTGTTCTGTGGGTCATCGCAAATCTATATTTTTTTCAATTATATAGTAGTGTCGCATTGGTTGTGCATGAGAGATTACCTTAGGTAAAATAGTATTAAATTATGTATTGTCCTGAATGGTGTGACTTTTTGAGGCAACCCTGTACTGAAAGAATAGTGTTCATGCATAGGTGACTACTAAAGGAGAAGCAGAAGTCTAGACCACAGCAAGATTCGAATCAGAGGCCTCCAGATTACTTGTTCTTTGGTAGTCTGTGTCCTTAGCTCAGATTTATTTACAATCATTTCCTCTGTTTATTAATAATACCCATGAATCTTATTAATGTTTATGCCACTCATGTGTCCAACATCTCCTAAGGAGTTTTTCAGAAAATCCAGTCCATCTTACATTAATGTTGTACAAAGGCCACAGTTGTCCACCCACGCCAACCACTTATCGTGAAAACACCATATAAGAGATCACCTTCAGTAATTAGGACGACATTTATTTCCTTTGGAACTGTCTAAAATAAGCCTCGTACACTCGATATGATGGAAGCCACAAATTTCTTCAAGTTTCAGATTGCCTCTCAGCCTATGCCTCTCTATTATTCGTTTCGTATTTGTCTATTTTTTATCCTTACTATAGTTGAGCGTAAGTCATTTTTACGATGCGTGACCAAACAGCCAAACTCGTATCCGTTCGACCGACTTGTATTCCCACTCACCTTGCGCACTTTTGGCCAGACAGTGCAAAAACATGGTTCTGTATGCTGAAGTTGACTTCAATAAACATGTGGTAAATGGTCCATGTTCACTATTCCTGGCAATGATATGCATTCAGCTGCAGGAATTGAGCAAGTGAGTTACCCCCAAATGTTCACTCGCCACACAGTCTAAAGGGAAACGACCTGTCGGATCAGCAAAGTCTTGATGAATACTCCGCAGTGTCGAGTGAGGCGATGCTCGAGATGTACACATGTTTTCCTCAGTGCGAGAAGTCATTGGTCAACAAAAACTCCATGAGGAACTCTTCGAGTAGATTTTTATCTACGTTGCCTTAGACAGTGCAGACTTTACAATCAATGACTTTGTTTGTTTGACAGTAAAAATTTTACAAATATCATGGTAGGAAGTTTACCCTATTGGCAAATGACTTGATGAGTATTGACACCAAAAGGGAAGAGTTATAAAACCCTGTCAGGTAACTTCTTAGGCCATTCACCCCTTGTATTTCCTCCAGCTGAAGGCTTATATCATCTCAACATAGCAACTCATGTGGTCGTAAGAAACTTAAATCAACTTCAGCTAGGTCCCTACAAAGGTACTGGCATCGTAATACCAATGGCAAGGAACCCGAAGGTTGCCGAAAATCCTACAGCTTTAGTAAGAATGCGGAGACGGAGGGGTAACTACCCGGCCGGAATGCATTAGTGGCAACCGGTAATGGTAGCTTGCTCTATGCTAAAGATGTCTTTATTGAAACCCGTCACTTCACTTACACTGGTATCAATGCCGGCAAACTCCCTGTTACATATGGTGATCGACAGAAGTGACCTAGAAGCAAATGGAAAAGTCATGGCAACTTTCGAGGGGAGATACGTCTCTCCGGGCGAAAGTTCATACAAACTTATACAGTAGATTTTCCTTCTTGCTGAAGCTACAGTGCATATCAAAGGCACCGATCTACTTAACCATCACCACCTACTCGTAGATGTATATCGACAACGACTGGCGTGTGGTACCACTAAATTATTTGTTGAGAGGACCACTTACGTAGGTCAAAAATTGTCACTGGCTAAGAAAACGACAATCAATCCAACCCTTGTTTTAGACGGAAGCAGTTACGAAAACCGCGACAGGATCGATCGTCTAGATGTCACCCACCCAGAAGACATTCCTATGGGCTCAGGGATAATAATTCGCATGAAACCTAGCAGAATACCCACTATCACTCAGAGACAACCAGCACCTCGACAGCAACAGAAGCCTTCAACAGGACACAGAGAAAACATCCTGGAATAGCCACCAGGCTCTCAGAGCACTTCTTCCTTACCTTACAAAGCAAGATGAATGTACCCCATATTTCGCTTTCATTAGAAACTGTCGTGCTTATGCTACTTTATTTGACACATGTTGATCGTTTTTCACTGTATTCCGCGTCATAAAGTCAATATATATCTTATTTTGCATTTACATGTACTGTGTCATCCGCTTTCCGAAAAAAGTCTCGTCGATGTTACTCCTTTTGTTGTCTCCGACGAGGTTCTCAGAGTTATGGTTTTCTTTCTAGGTGCGATGGACACTGGAAAAGAGACAAACGAAGCACTAGAACTAGCAGACGAACATTAACGAGGGATGTACTAGGAATTATTGTTGTCTCACTACTGCGAAAACTCAGGAACCCCCCTTTGAGGACTGATATCAGTAGCCTTGCAGCTCATGTATGTTTATGTCCGGGAATGGGAGTGAGTTTCCCGGAGGTGACATTTAGAACTAACCCAAAGGTTATTTTGTAGTTAATAAATAGCACAAGTGCGGGAATTAAGACACTCCCGGCTAAACTCACTCCCAACAATTCACAGCCTTCCTGAAGTTTGTCGATGCTCTCGAAAGAGAATGCAGTAGATTTTACATCTCACGAGATATATAGCGTACCAAACGTGATTCCGTTAATAGTACCACAGCACACCAACGTTTGTACGTTCTTCGATGTGCTGAACGCTGTGAACGGTCAAATACGGACAAAGTTGTATCTAGAAGCACAGGTGAAAACTTGAAAAGTTCTATTGTTGACAAAATCAAATTTTGAAGAGCGGGATGGGAACGTAATATTGACCAAGCAAAACAGATATGTAACAACCGAAAACTAATGTTTCGTGATACGATAGCAAATATTCGACAAGCGTTTGTAAAGGCTGTTTTCTAAGAACGTATAATATGGGCACATGAATTAGTTTTGTAAGCGTACGCTTAGAGTTGACATGGAGGTGCTACAAATGACTTTCAAGCACGAGTCTTTTAGAATGTTTGATGTGGTCTTCGTCCTTATGAGTCCTAAAGCCAAATGCCAGTATCGTACACAACTATGAAGCCTGACAACGACCAAATGGAGATAAAAAATACAGAAGTAGCGAGTGGCACGATTAATGATTTCATCCTGAGTCAGGATCTGTATACTTCTCTCACCACTTTATAATAAAGAATGTGGATATTTGACCACTTGCAGTGACAAATGATCTGCAAACATTACTGGTCCCATATCCTGAAACTGCCTCATGAATCACCCATTACCTTCCTCCGTGACGCATCCTGGATAACACTTGTGGAATATTACCTTTATATCAATAAAAAATCCCAATAATTATCTGTTCGGTGCCAATCAATCCGGTTTTTTAGGAAATATTGAACACATGATGATGGTTGCATTTGAAATTTCGCTGACTCGCGTGATGATAATTTCCAGCACCTAAATGCTCCAGCTGTCATTTTATATGGATTAATTCCCAATTATTCTGGTTCCTGGCAGCATATGGACTGGAAATTACCTATTGCTGTAACACTGCTTCCTTGCATTTTTAAGTAGACACTTACTGCTGTGTTTCTCAGGACATTCTCCTCTTCGTGGAATAGCTTATAACCACGTGGCGACATAGCACTTACCCAAATATACGCGGTTCACTGGTTGACCATGACTATCAGCATGAAACGGAGTGAAGTTTGGGTTGTCGCTCAACTACGATGATGAGGGGTTTAAATTTAACATTTATAAAAACTTATTCTGATCGCTTGTACCATTATCGAACAATTAAGACTTTTTAAAAAGCACTGATTTATGTTACTTCACCGTTGTAATTTATAACATAACTGAGCGTGCCTGTAAAAATGGCATGCATTTCTTGTAAACACCCATTCATACGAAATAGAAGTTATTATTATTAATTGGACAAAAATCTCGAAGACAAATGAATGGATGATTGGATTTTATTGCTACACAACCATAACACGTACGAGTGTAGGATATACATTAATTGTTTTGGGTACTCTGAAGGTGGACTAATTAGTGCACGCAGGTTTCAGCTACATAAAGCTTACCCAAGTAGTGTAATTTAGGTATACGCTTTAAATGCTTGTGTCATTTGGTAGTTCAAGAACACGAGATACGAGCTCGCCTTTGTGCAAACTTGTCTTATTGGAAAGCCTGGTATATGCGAGAGACTGACTACAAAACTCTTCTTGACTTAACTAGGGAAAAACCTGATGATACTGCCGACCACATATCACGTCACTAAACTGACCTTGAGATACCACGAAGATAATGGAGGGCATGTGATTGATATACAAGTTCTGGTGTCTCTCAGA